CTTTGTATGTGTCTCTATGTCGTGTGTGTCTTTGTTTATTGTGTCATGTGTGTCCTTGTTTGTGTGTGTGTGTCTTTGTCTGTGGTTGTGTCTTTGTGTGTGTGTCTTTGTCTGTGTGTGTGTCTTTGTGTGTCTGTCTGTGTGTGTCTTTGTGTGTCTGTCTCTGTGTGTCTTTGTCTGTGTGTGTGTTTGTGTGTGTGTTTGTGTGTGCTTGTCTTTGTGTGTATGTGTCTTTGCATGTGTGTCTTTGTCTATGTGTTTGTGTGTCTTTGTGTGTGTGTGTGTGTCTTTTCTGTATGTGTGTATGTGTCTTTGTGTGTGTCTTTGTGTGTATGTCTTTGTCTATGTGTTTGTGTGTCTTTGTCTGTATGTGTGTCTTTGTGTGTGTCTTTGTCATGTGTCTTTGTGTGTGTATGTCTTTGTGAATGTGTGTCTTTGTGTGTGTATGTCTTTGTCATATGTGTTTTTTTGTGTGTGTCTTTGTCATGTGTTTTTGTATGTTTGTGTGTCTTTGTCTATCTGTGTGTGTCTTAGCCTGTGTGTTTCTTTGTATGTGTGTCTTTGTGTGTGTGTCTTTGTGTGTGTCTTTGTGTGTATATTTTTGTCAGTGTGTGTGTGTGTGTGTGTGTGTGTGTGTGTGTGTGTGTGTGTGTGTGTGTGTGTGTGTGTCTTAGTCCGTGTGTGTATGCACATGCCAAAGCACACATGGGGAGATTGGAAGACAACCTCGGGAACAGTTCTCTCCTTCCACCATGTGGGTTCAGGGGATGGAACTCAGGTGCCCGGGCTTGGCAACATGAGCCTTAACCCACTGAACCATCTCAACAGCCTCTCGTGAAGTCTCTTATGATGGACCTCAGAGTTACAGGGTTAATCAAAATCATTTGATTCAGACACCCCAGATTTCTCATCATCGGTCAGCGCTTGGTTGTCTTTGTTTAGTCATTCAGTAGTCATTGCTACTAATGACGTCAATGACCATGAAATGTGAGGCTGAAAAGAAGCTCCTGACATTGTGCTGAGACACACATAATAGCTCGATTTCTGTAGGACTGAGACACTCTTATGGCAGTTATGAAGACATGTGATAACTCAGCTCCCTCACTTCATGTCAAATGCACTTGTGAACTTTCCTTGCTCTTCTTTATTAAATTTATCTGAATTTTAAGAACAGACAATGTGGCCAAGATGGCGGCCAGTAGAGTCCACACCTTGTGTCACACAGTCATGTGTTACTGTTCACATCTTGGATCATGGCTGTCTATGTGACCAGTAGAACACTATGGAAGTGGTGGTTTGTGCCTTAGGGAGATTCGTCATATTATACAGTAAGGTTCTACCTAATTCTGTCCTGTACTGATTGCTCTTGGGAAATTAGCTGTCATGTTCTAAGGATGCCCATAGAGGAAATCTTCATGTGGAGAGGAAGCGTGGTCCCCATCAGCAGCCAGCCATGGACATGAGTCCTGCAAGCAGATCACACACACACACACACACACACACACACACACACACACACACACACACAGCCAAGCAACTACTTTGCCTGACACCTCACTATAAATTGGTAAGACTCCAGACAGAAACCCCTGACCTCATGGAAACTGTGAGAAATAATAGGTATTCATGCTTTGAGCCATGAAGTCACTGGGTGAGATACTCCACAGCTAGAGATCTCAAAAGCCATGACAGAGCATGCTATTTCTGACTTGCTTGATATCACAAGTGTTTCAAATTTGGAATATTTCACCTTTGTTTTCTTCAACTTTTGGAATATTTCCACACACACAATGAAATATCTTAAAAACATTACCCCCAAATAAATAAAGTTCATTTGTCCCCTAGTCAACTTATTCATACATGTGACCAGAGGAAGTTTTTACAATATTTCAGTGTACCTGCATTTTGACTGTAACCATGATGAAGACAAATGTGAAATCTTCCACACGTACCAAAAGTCAATGCTCAGGAAGTTTCAGAAATAAAAAGACTCTCTGATATTTCAGATTAGGGGAGCTAAACCTATACAACCATGAACCGTGCTGCAGTCATGGCGAGGACATTAGCATAGACTTCTTCCCTCATTCAGCACGCTCCCACCTCAATGAGTTATTGGCCCAGACATTTATCATTGATTGAATGGGTAATGACACAAAACAAATCTTAAGACTGAAACATTCTGAGAATTAATAAAAGACCTCCAGGATTAACAGACTTAGGTTGTGCTGAATCATATTAACCACAAACTCTGGTCGATTCTCTCTGCTGGTTCTATAAGCATTCTTTTATTTTATCCATAGACAAGCATCTCTGTTCACATGATGTAACTCAGAAATAAACCCGTTGTCTATAGAATAAAGATGATGAATCTGTCACCTAATGTGTGAGGAGGGGGCCTTTTGGATCACTGTTTCAGGGTAGACCCTTGGCAATGCACTATGAGGTCCCCTGAAAAGGACAAATGAGGTTAAGGTGTGCGTGGGTAGCAGCACACAGACGGTCTTAATGGTTGCATTTATTTCTCTTGTGCTGGGTGGTGAATTTTAGTTTCTGTTGTATTAAAAATTAAATAGTACATAAGTCAGTACATAAGAAGTAGAGTTATTTGGGAGTCAATAATGAGAATGTAATAGGAACCAAGTTTGGATTAGTCACCCAATCCCTTATGAATCAGTCTATTAAAAGATTTAAGCCTGTGGGTTCCATTCTTTGTAGAGTGTGTGTTGTACTTCACAGAGCAAAAACACTTTCCATTCTTCATAGAGTGTGTTGTACTTCACAGACTGAGAATACCATGGTTGATGTAATTGTTCAGTAAAGACGGAGATGCTGGTTCCCACCTGCGTGGTTAAGGGGCTTAGGGACTATTGTACTTCTAAATTTCATATCCTTGGCATAGGGAGTTTATTGTTAACGTATGTCAAAGGCATAAATGACCAACATATAAATAAAATAAGAGAATGTACTATAGTGCCAACCACAGAAATGAACTAAAATTTGCAGTTAATACAATTCAATCCAACTTAGGTCAGTTAAAGATGGAGGGCTCTTATTAATCATTAATGAGTCTAAATTAATCAGATCTCTGAGCTGGCAAGATGACTAGTGGGTAGAAGCACTTGCTGAGAAAGCCACAAGGCCTGAATTCTATTACCACATACCACCATGAAAGGGAACCAACTTCCAAATAGCTATCCTCAGACCTCCAAACCTGCACCGTGGCATATACACACCTACCCCACAACAATAATAAAATTAAAAATTTTAATTCATAGTTTTGTTTCACAAAACTTGCTTGTAACTGCCCCCAGGTCTACATCCTTCAAGTAATCAACTGAAGTGTGAGCTCCTTCCTTCATTCTATTTTAAGGGATAATCGAAACAAATGAAAGTTGAAACACTAGATCAAAGCATGAGCTGTGTCCATAGACACGGTGATCACAGATACAATGGACAAGGTCCTTTGTAAGAGATTAGCCTTTGGTGGACAGAATTAGATCAGTAATTACCATGTGCACAGAACTGTTCCATGCTTAGCCTTCTTTCAGTTAGACAATTATTCAAACAATCATTTTCATACTCATAATTTATTTCTTGTCTAAATAAAACCAATGGACAGCCTCTCCAACAAAATCCAAATATCAATACCATGGTTCATGGCTCAGGACATGTCCTTCAGGGAAATATTCAAAAAGACTTAATCTATGTGTATCTGAGGTTCATTGTGTCAGAAAGTAACAATAATAAATAATAATATTTGTTTCTTTTCTTTTGTTCTTTTTCTTTCTTTCTTTTTTTTTGCAAAATTGGCCATTTTTATTCATTCTTGTACCCACCCCATTATAATACAATTCACAGAAGGGAGGAGTGAAGGCCAAGGTCATTGACTGTGGCCAGCTGGTGCAACAGGCACACCTCACTGCAGAAATGAGGGAGATTTTCTTTTTCTGACATTTCTCTGAGTTGCAATTTAGTCAGAACTCTGATTCACACATCTCAGGAAGCTCACTGCTCTATATATCTATTGATACATTTTCTCCCTGTGCTCATGGCTTTATTCATTGGTGTGTGTGTGTGTGTGTGTGTGTGTGTGTGTGTGTGTGTGGTGTGTGTGTGTGTGTGTGTGTGTGTGTGTGTGTGCAAAATTAATAAATTAAAAGTCCCAAGAGCAGCATCACTGAATAATATATCACTCTGTCAAGTGTCCATTCCCCACATAATTAATATATCTGGTCACTTTTCCCTAATATGTGTATACTTTTTCCACATTTCAGCCAATGAGTGTTCTTATTTCCTTTAATCTCTGTATTTAACTTGGGTCCATGTCTGCCCACTTTTGGTCTTAAAGATAGTATCATGAATAAAGATGGTATCATGAACACACAATTAGAATAAACAGATAATTTTGTTCATTGTCCAGTACCCTCTATCCTCAAAATATTAATAGCCTAAGTGTTATCAGTAAAAAAGTACGTAAATGAATCACAGCAAAAAAGAAAAAAATAGAATATTAAGCAACCCTGAAAATGAATGAAATGCCACTTATCTTCTTTTATTGGATTTTACTGGTGCTAAATCATATTAATTAAAAAACCCCAGCCTGAGCACATTCCCATCAATGCATACCACTGGCCTTTGTTGGTTTTATATATGAATTATATCCATTTATTACTTTGGAAAAATGCAAGCAACACCCATAAGCCAACCTCCGAACCCAAGAACATAAAATTCAAGCTATTACTCACATAAATCTCTTCTTTCCTTACCCACAGAGGTAAAAACCTAGACCTTTGGCATTCCAGGATGATTCAGTTGGAGGGGGTGTATCCACTTGGTGAAGTCAAGCACAAACTTTCAAAAGAAAGAAAAATCCTACAGTTAGATGTACTTGTCTCACAAACAATGGGGTTCAGGACAGTTTCATATGTGTATATCAAATATTCTATCAATAGTTCTGTCTCTATGACCTATACTCATCCCCACCACCTCCTGCTGTTGGTCCCTTCCTAGACCCTTCTATTTTTTTTCTTTAGATTCCATGGCCAGCATTATAGACAACATTCTCTCTGTTGACCTATACTTGCTCCTACTCCATTGCATACTTAGAAAATTATTTATGTATCTATCCGTTCTCCTTAGTACACCAACATCTAGCTACCTCCTACCACTCCCAGAAATGTCCACAGGGACACCTTGACGCACCTATGAATGTGTGTCTGTGTGGCTAGGAGTCCTACATGCCCCAGAAGTGCAGCAGTTTTTATTAGGATAGCATAAGGGAACCAGCATTAAAAATTGCTAACAGCTGCTGCTTCACATTGTGATTTCCTAACTGACCCATAGGTAACAATCTATATTTTCCTCACAAATTCCCACTATCCTGACTCCAATGCCACTGGGATCCAGGAGCCAGATGTCACCCTGGCCTGCATTTCTATCAGGAACTCTACCCCCACCGCAGACCTGCCAACTATGTGTGTTTCTAATAGACTTCAGTTTACTGTTTAATCAAAAGTATTGATGCGTACACCCCAGAACTACTCATTACTGATCCACGCTCAATGCATTTTCCTCATTTATTTATCTGCACATTACTGATTGTTTCTGCATAATTTATTGATTTTTTTTCATTCAGAGTTTCTCTGATTAAAAATCTTAGTGCCCATGAATCACAGAAATCCAAAAACAAAATCTTTCACTGACATAACACGCGATTTCCAGGATCAGGTTCACAGAGCAGGTAAATAAGATAAAGGCCTGAACATATAGATTAATCAATCACATTGCTTCCTGCCACTCTGCTGTTCAAGATTCATTCAACTGATTCCTAAAGACAGTGGGCCAATGAGTATACCTCAGACTCCATGGCTAGAGACCCACAGACAACACTCAGGATCTTGCACAATATTTAAAAACTTATATCAGATCCTCTACTGATAAGTAAACTTTCTGCAAACATAACATAACAACAGAATAGAATTTTAGGACTGTTTGGATGAAAGCCTTATCTTGAAAGACCTGGGCTGTGCTAAAAAATCACTAAATCTCAGTCCCCACTAACAGCTGATGCCTGGCAGGTTTGTTCATTTTTATTTTGTTTTGCTTTTATAATTGAAAGATAAAATTGTGCACATTAAGTGTGCACATGATGTTTTCAAGGACTTAAACACCACAGAATGACTAATTCTAGCTAGCTAATGTCTTCATTACCTGATTGTCACATCTGTGCTAAAAACACTTCACATCCCTCCAATCATGCCATCCTTTTTGGTGTTGTTCCCTTTGGCATTTTTTTTATTTTGTCATTATTTTTTTGTTTTGGTTTTTTTTTCTTTCTTTCTTTCTTTCTTTCTTTCTTTCTTTCTTTCTTTCTTTCTTTCTTTCTTTCTTTCTTTCTTTCTCTCTTTCTTTCTTTCTTTCTCTCTTTCTTTCTTTCTTTCTTTCTCTCTTTTTTCTTTCTTTCTTTCTTTCTTTCTTTCTTTCTTTCTTTCTTTCTTTCTTTCTTTCTTTCTTTCTTTCCTTCTTTTATGCTTTATTTTCTTTCATGGAGCTATTTGGTTTGGGATTCGGACCTTTTTTTAAAATAGAAGATCTCATTATGTAGCCCAGGATGGCATCAAACTCAAAGCAATGCTCCTGCCTCAGTCTCCCAGGTGTTAGAATGATAAGTGTACGATATCATGCCTGGCTAACCTTTTCTTTCCTGTCTGTTGGCAGTTGTCATTCATCCTTTGGATGTGAATTTATGGATGGCACAATCACTCGACACACCAAGAACCCCAACACCACTTACATGAGTCCCTTGATTCCTGGCCCACAGTGTCTCAGGGTCAGACAGGCACCATCAGCGGTACATCATGGAATCTGCAGAATTAAAACCTTTAGTAAGCTGCAATAATCTTTATCTAAACAATGACAAAGGTTTTTGGAGCAATTAACATGTCTGATATAAATTTTGGAGAATTTGAATTTTAAAAAATACAGGTTTTAGGAAACTGAGGGAGCAATACAGTCTTGGGCCCTCTTCCTAATACCTTAGTCTCTGTATATCAAATCTAGAAAAATCACAGCTTTTACATATGCCCATGATTAGCCAAGAATGGCTCTTATCTTATTTATTATTGATATAATTTATAACTCCCTTATACTCAGATGCTAGCCTATAATGTATATATGTGTATGTATGCTTGTATGTATTATATATAATGCATTAAATATATATGTGGGTGTTTATGGGTATACTATAATATGAAGAACGAAGAACAAGACTGAATAATAAGAAAGATAAAGCACATACTAATGAGTTCATATAAGTCCTTTGAATACTCTCTCAATAGCAACACAGGTTCAATTCAAAGTCAGTCCTGAAAGGGGCAGTGTCCACATATGATTCCATGAGGGGCTGTTACAGTCCTGGGAGATCTGAATTGGAAATTACATTACATTCTTTGGATATTAGTGTAGGCCGTAGCTCTTTGTAACTATACGTCAATTTAGAGTGTTTTCTGCTTTTAACATGCATTTTAGATGTATGTTTAAAATAATCATAATGTTGAAATTGCTGAGAATTCTGATTCATTGCCCCTGAATCTCAAAGAATAACATGCCAGGAAATTGAAAACAAACAAAAGTGCTTTTTCCACTCGGTGTCACAATTCTAAAAATGTATCATTGTAACTGAGTAAATATTGTAACAAATAAGTAAACAAACCTGATCAATCTACATGCTTATTAAAAAATTCATAGCTACATTGAGGATTTTAGATGCAGATCACATTTCAGTTAAAACACTGACCACCCAACTGTTCAGTGTGACTACAGCCACTCTACTGGAAAGTGCATGCCTATAGAATAACACCCCCAAAATATGAAATTTTTATTTATTGATGACTGATTTTTTTATATGATGAACCAATATCTTTCTCTCCCCTTTCCTTTCCCCTCTTCCTCCCCACCCCCTCTCTCTGGATATATATACATATCCAGGCAGGATAGTCTTGAACACACATTGCAACTGCCTCAGTTTCTTGCTTGTTATTACTGGTATCACCACACTGGGATCACTACACTGGTGTCACTGTGCTAACATTCTTTTTCTTTATATTCGTTTTTAGAAAATGTCTTTCTTTAGAGCCCATGATAACCTCAAACTTGTGGGCAATTCCCTGCCTTAGCTTCAAACGTGCTAGGATTATAGGCATGAGCTGCTGTTCCTGGCTTTCAAACACCTTCCTGATAATACAGGGATTCCATATTCATCCCTAGCCCATCTTTATCTGCCTTTCCCTTAATTTGTCTAGAATTCACAGTTGATACAACAAGCTATTATGGACTTGATCAATCATTAAATCAAAAGTGGTATAAAAGTAGTGTGAACTATTAAAATGTTAATGACAAAAAATGTGGTCTTACTATGTGTTAATGGAGTTGTGTTGAAGTGGATTGAGATCTTTCATTTTTGAATTACACTTCTGTTGATCTGAACTAATCAAAAATCATCATATTATCATCTTTGTGCCACAGGTAGACTCCAGCATAATTGTGTGGAGCTGGGAATGAAACACAGGACCTGACTTATGATAGGAAAGTATTCTCAGACTGAGCTACATTCTGAACACTTTAGTATTCACTAATCATTAGTTGAAGCCATTTGATAATATAAGAATACACTCAAAACAACCACTTAGCATGCCACTATTAAACTTGACAATACCTTTTTGGTTCTTGCCCATTAAGATATATAAATCTTCAATATTAGAGACAGGCTCACATAGACTATAGGGTATGAAATCAAGGAAATGTTGAAAAGTTAATAAAAGAAATAAATACATGAATCAGTCATTTTTACCAGTAAAATGAAGCTGTACAGAACTATATTAATTATAATACTTCTATGTAGCACATTCAATTATTAGCCTACAATTAATATTCATTTATTTAAATTATATATTCATGCATTCACTTTTAGCATTCTTAAAACTCCCAAGAGCCAAACACCTAATACAACTAATGGAAAAGCCATTAGCCATGTAGGGTTACTTAAATCTAAATTAATAAAAAAATAACCAAAAAGGAAACCTTTACACTTCATATTCACATTTCAAGTGTTCTAGATTGTTTTGAGGCTAAAGACCACCACATCAGATGGAAGCCATCACAAGACAGTGTCTTTGCTGTGCAAAGATCCATGGGAAAAATGAGGATCTGCTATTTATCTCTAAAACAGTGTGGACCTTTTCCTAATGAGCTTAACAGCTCCAGCGCTTGACTCACAACACCATCCTCTCCAGCTCACACTGAGTCTCTTTCATTTGATTGGATCATTCCTGTCTTTTAAAAGATATATTTTGTCTTTGATTATCTATTGTGTGTGTATCTGTGTGTATGTGAGTGTGATGTGTGTGTAGGTTCGTTTGGAGGCCAGAAAAGGGGTTCTGGTCTCCTGGAACTACAGTTACAAGTGATTGTGAGCTGCCTGACATGGGTGCTGCGATCTGAACAGGAAGCTCTCCTAACCATTGAGCTACCTCTCTAGCCCTGAGACTTGTTCATTCTAAGGAAATGCGAGCAGCGAGTAAGCTCCGTCAGTGCACGCACCATCCCCGACGACTTACATGGCAGCGTCTTTCATCTCCTTCTGTTCACTCCCGGCTCAAAGAATAAACAGCCTGGAACTTTATTTATGGTAAAACATCTAAACAAATCATGCAATGTACACAATAAAACCCCCAAGAGCTGGTTAGAGAAGGGAGCACGCAGGCTGTTGTAATGGGGGTTAGGAGCACATTATTGAATTAAAACCCTTTCGTACTTGGACCATTCTCATCACCAATCCACGTTTTGGGCACTCAATTCTATTATGCATTTATGTAGTTATTTATTTTTGGTACTAAAATTAACATCCAACACACCATCCTGTTTGTGTGGTTATAAGCATATTGGCTAATTCCTTAATCAACATATTTTCAAGGACCTTTGATGTACATAATTTGAATCATAAATTCCAGGGTAGTAAGTGTTTTATCTTTCTTTAATTTGGTCTTGAGGTCTCTGTCAAGAGAGAATCTATGAAGTCTAGCCCGGCAAGGATGGGATTTACAGTGTGCCTTATTCTAGTCCTCTCCTAGTTTAAGTGCTGATTTATTTCTCATTTATTTGATTACTTATCTATGAATTCCCTTGAACAACTCTCTAACTAAAGATTTTAAAACATGAAGACAGGGCCTGTAGAGGAGGCTCAGAGTAAAGAGCATTTGTTACTCTTGCAGAGGACCTGGATTCAGTTTCCAGCACCCATATGGTGGTTCACAAACATCAGTAGCTCCATTTTGGGGATCAGACACTCTCTACTGACTTCCATGAGCACTATGCATGCATGTGGTATAAAAACATAGATGCGCCGGGCGGTGGTGGCGCACGCCTTTAATCCCAGCACTCGGGAGGCAGAGCCAGGCGGAGCTCTGTGAGTTCAAGGCCAGCCTGGGCTACCAAGTCCCAGGAAAGGCGCAAAGCTACACAGAGAAACCCTGTCTTGAAAAAAAAAATAGATGCAAGCAAAACACTCATGCATATAAAATAAATTTTAAAACTGTTTGAAAATATGAAGACATCAACTCTCACTTGCATTTTATGTATCTTTTGTCTCCAAATAAAAGTTTCTCACAAATACTACATTATTAAATAAACTACATTGTAGCCATTCTATGTAATGGACAACAGTTATTGGAAACATACAGCTCAGGTCAATTTTCAGATAAATACTTGTGTGGAATTAATTAATAAGCTCAATAGTTATACATTATTAGCCTCATTGGTCTGTGGTTGGACCACTCCAGCTTTTGTTTTCACATTTTAAAAGGATCATTAAATAACATATGTGAATCTTACCTAACAACTAAAAACTATCAATTGCATACTTCCAAATGCAGAGTGCCATCATAGATGAATTAGACATTTCATAAACAGGCACGTGTCTAGGCACAGCACACAAGTGAACAGTTGACAGAGCTGAGGCAATATTGCTCTGATGCCTCTCAAAATGGGGGAATTGTGGGATTATAATCTCAGGTCATGGTGTCTTCTGTGCATTATCCCATTTGTTTTGTGCTAGAAGTGCATCCGTTTTTTTAAATAGATTCATAACCATACATGAACGTGTGGCACATAACATATGAAATGCATATGGCATGTGTGTGTACCTATGCATATTCACCCTTCCTGTGTAATATATGTGCTCATTTTGTGCAGGTGCACATGTATGTGGATGCAGGTTGAGGTCAGAGAACCGATTAGTATTATTCCTCAGGCACTATGCATGTTGTTTTGTGAGGCACAGGGTCTCTCACTGGCTTAGAACTCCCCAAATAGGCTAGGCTGGCTAGCCAGAGAACCTCAGAACTATCCCTGTGTTGGCCTCCCCAGGACTAAGGTTATAAGCAAGCCACCATGCCCAGTTTTTTGTATGCGGGCACCAGGAGATTGAAGGCAGGCCCCCATGCTTGTAAGGCAAGCACATTAGCAATTAAGCTGTCATCCTAGCCTGAGATATTCCATTTTTCTTTGCTATTTTCTACATAGGGAACAGCCTACTATATAATTTCTAATTTGGTAATTATTATGCCTAATTGGATTAATTACCCTTGGTTCATGACTATCTCATCACTGACTAGTGCTTTGGCCATCTTTGATTTTATTTACAAACTCAATCATGGTTAATAATGCAATAAACACCCATCAGCCAAATACCCAAGTTCAAAATAACAAAAGTAGCCATTACTCACATTGTTGGCCCATGGCTCATTGCCCACAGTGGTCACTGCCAAGGTCTCACCCAGCAGGCTAGTCTCCATTCACATTAGGGCCTCCATGCTGTGGAACACAAGGCAGATATTAAAAAGGACGAAGTGGGAAAGCTTTCTCCGTGGCCATTAGTGAGTAGGACAGCTAATCTTAGTCTCAGATCATGATACCGGCCCAAGCAGGTATTCATTCATTCATTCATTCATTCATTCATTCATAGTTATTGTTCTAATGAAAATGCATGAATTCACCACCTTAAAAAACAAAAGCAAATATTTTTGTAAACATTGATCTCTACACTTCCTGTCCACAAAGGAAACAACAGATCCTCTTCCAAACAGACCCAGGTACAGAATTGGAAACACAGCCATCTTTGATTCCAGATACAATCTCATCATTATTGCCTATTCATTTTCCCCATGGTTTTCATACATTTTTAAGTACAATAAACACAGAAGAACTGAGCACTGATCCAGAGCAGACACCTCAGTATACATAGAGGTGAAATACTACTTTTGAAAAGGCTACAATTATACAGGAATAGATAAGTTAACCTCTAGGTCAGAAAACCCTGTTGGCAACCTACTCTTGGGCTCCTGTGGCCTTGCCATTACTTATTTCTCATTTCATTCCTTTTTAACTACAGATCAAGGACACTTGAAGTTACCAACCAGCCCAGGACCACTGACAGGTCTGCATACCCAAGGGTCTTCTGACTGACAGGCCAATAGTCAATAGTTGGCTGGGTTTGGTCTCTCTTAATAACAACACCCAAACTCAGAGCAGAAAAGCGATTAGCAGAAGTCAGTGGGTATGAAGAACAGGATTGGTCAGAGAGTACAACGTGTCTTTGTAAGAACATTAAGTTCCTAATGGACAATGTATACCGTGGCAACTCTAGTTTACAGAAATGTATATTTAGAATTAACACAGAATGTCCATTTAGATATTCTCCTCCCACACAAAAGCAATACAGTATGTGGGGTACTGGACACAAAACATCAAAGCTTCAGTACATACAATTTTTATTTGTCAGTTAAACGATCTTAAAACAGGACAGAAAAAAACCCGCAGCATTGGTCTACATAGGATGCACTTTAATTTTATGCATAATTAATTAGATTTATGCATCATTTTTTTTGTACATAACTTTACACCATTCCATACTGCTTCCTGAAGAGAGACCTGCCAGGCCTGCCTCCTGTCCAGAGGGACCATGTGGGGGCCACAGAATGCTCATGAATGTCAGGTTAGCAGACCTGGGTCAGTCTTTATCTGAAGGACTCTTATAGCTGCTGGATCCAAGGCATGAGGATATTATTTCTTGTTCTTTTATAATTTTTAATAATAAAATTAACAGCCCCAAACAATTCTGAGCTTTTATTATGTTACCCACTTGGGATGAATTAACCCCAGTCCTTAGTTCACAGCCCACACTCATCCTCAGGCCTTATACATGTCTTATTTTAGTTACACCCACTTAGGACTAACCACACATAGCGCCACCCCCTGGCCCCCATTGTCCAGCTGGTTACACATTTTGACTAGTGCTTCTCCCCTCCTCCTTTTATACACACGACATTTAAACACACATGTGTTCTTACAATATGTTTTTTAAGAGCCTGTGATCTGCTGGAGATACACAGCTTGACTTTAGGACACGCCCACCCAGATCTGATGCTGGGACTGGAACCCAGAGCCTCACACACATGTGCTGCTTCCACTTATAATCACAGTCATGAGCAAAGAGTGACCTACAAAAATACCCACACTAGGACGCCCGCCCCCAGATTCAGCCTCACCTTCTAACTAGCTGGGTGACATCAAGGTAATTAAGGAGCCTCTCTGTGCTATGCTCCCCATACACAAGACATCTGGCCCCTGAACAAGGTTAATCATTCTCTTCAAAGCCAGGTGGCAGACCTCCCACGACACCACTGAGCCCCTTGTGCAAATCTCTGCTCCCGCAGCTGCAGCAGCGCCCGAGCGATGGTGATAGATAGACAGACAAAGCAGGTTCCACCCCAGCAGGCACTCATGAGCTGTGTGACTGCAGAGACGTGACCTGGTCTCTCTGTCTTAGTCCCCGGACTCGGAGGATTTGTAGAGTGAGGACAGCAACACCTTCCTGGGTCCAACAGGGTGAAGGGCTACCGACCGACTGACCAATGGACCAGGTGGGCTGATGGACGGACTGACAGATCGATCCTCAAAGCAACGCCCACCCTGTATATGCTCTGTCAGCCAACCCCGCCTCCCACACCTGTCTGCTCAAACAGTCTCCTAAAGATCAGACAGTGAAATGCACTCCATGCTCAGGCCTGTTCATAGGTTTCAGGAAGAATGTCTCTTGGAGCAGACATAATTGGGAACTGTTCCTTTGTGGTCAAGATATCATAGTTAAAAAAAGAAATCCACCCAAGAGATGCACTTCTGAAAGTCAAAATACATTGTAGGAAATTTATTGCTCCCTGGGAGTAGCCTATGCTATCAGATTCACTGCTGTGATTTGTTTGTGTTTGTTTTCCTTTAGACAAGATCTCCTGAAACCCAGCCTGGCCTGAGGATGGCTTTTAGCTGCTGATCCCCCTGCTTCCCCCCCTTGAGTGCATGGATTAGAGGACTGTACCACCACACTTACTACTGTGCGGTCCCGGAGGGTTTCAAACTCAGGGCTTTCTGAATGCTAAGAAAGCCCTCTAAAACTGAGCTGCATCCCCAGCCCTGAACTGCCAAGAAATTCTTGAAGTTCAAATTATTTCCCTCTAGACCAAAGGGGGCGCCACTAACCAAGTAAAGCCAGTACCACAGGCAGCTCCCAGCACGGGGCCGCCGGTGGCGAGAGAGCCCCCTGTGAGCCCCAGGGGGCGTCTGCACGGTTCATCCTGCAGGCAGCACAGTGTACCCGCGGCACAGGGCAGCATACATCATTTCATTTCCTTTCTACAACAGTCCCGCCAATTAGACCTAATAGTCCTAATTAGCCAAGAGTTACTGAATGCAGACACTGTACCGGGCACCGTGCAGACTGCTGTGGACACGCGGACATTCCTCGGTGTGGATGAGACTAGGCACCAGACATCCTCCCTCCCATTCTGCGCTAGGCAATAGGTCTAGATGCTGAGGACAGGGCAAAATCGTCTGAGAATGATCAGCCCTGTGGGGAAAGACAGAAAGAGGGAATTCACACTAAAGAAGCACAAGGTGTGGGGCTGATATAGCAATTAGAAGCCTGGGGGAACACAAAGCAGCTATTAGGGGAGACAGCCCCACGGAGATGGCAAGATTTGGAAAAAGATACCAGAAGTCCTAATTTATATCCATTGACAAACAGCCTCAGAGAGGTTAAGTTACTGGCAAGTGGTCACACAGCAGGAAAGAGGCAAAATGAGGCAGTGAATAGTGCACATGGGTTGTGATTCTTACTAAAGATATTGAACCCTATTCCAGCAGTTATAATGATTATAAGGAAACGAAAGCATTATTTTTTAAAAACACCTTTTTTGGGGCAGAAGGGTTTCAGGCACCTCGAGCTGGCTTTCAAACTTGCTAGGTGGTCAAGGGTGAACTTCAACATCTGATCTTCCTGCTTCTACCTCCTCAGTACTGAGATTACAGGCCTGTGCTACCTCACCCAGGTTTGCATGGGGCTGGGGTTCAAACTCAGGGCTTTGGGAACACTAGGAAGCATTCTACCAACTGAACTACATCCCAAGCCCCTTTTGCATTTTTTTTTTTGTAACTGCATATATGTGTATCTGAAGTTGCCTGCAGAATCCAGAAGGGGGTGTTAAATCTATTTGGGGCTGGAGTAATTAATTCTCCGTGGCCTGATGTAGGTTCTGGGCACTGCACTTGGATCCTCTGGGAAAGCAGCAATCACTCTTAACTGTGCAGTCTTCCAGTCCCTCAAGTCTCTTTAAATGCCTGTTAGTATGGCCAGGTGTTGTGGTGTATGGCTTTGATCTTAGCACTCAGGAAGTAGAGGCAGGTGGATCACTGTGAATTTGAGGCCAGCCTGAACTACCTAGCAAGTTCCAGGACTGCCAGGGATACACAGTAAAACCATGTCTCAAAAGAATTAATAATAATAACAATAAAAGGTGCTTTGGGTATTCCATGCTACAACTGGGTATACTGAGGCACTAGGGTAAATGCACATACAGAGTGCTTGTTGACAGAACCTGACAGAGCCTGGCCAGTATGCAGCTTTTCAAAGCCTAGCTGCTAGACTGAAGCCAGTTCTGCAGAGAGGGCATTCTCAGTCTCTGTGTTCCTTCCCTGGCACCCCCTTGGGCTGACGAGACATTTTTACACCTGCCCCATTAACATTCAGTCAGAATAAAAAATGCAGGAAAAGCTCAATTCTCCCACGGGAAGCCAGAGTACGTGTGGCCCCTGCTTGCGTGATAATTACAGATAGAACACACTTGAGATGTTGCTTAGAAAATAAACAGATTCAATTGGATAAGAAGTTTAGCCCCAAAGGTGCTCCTGACATGAGGGAGGGCTGAGAAACACAGATTTGTTTTCAGGCGTGGCCAGAGAGGAAAGGCAGTCTGTCAGAAGTGTGGGTTTGGAAGGAAAAAAAAAAAAAAAGGAGGCTGGGTTTGCATCTGCCCCCTATATCAATTTTGGGACAGTCCTTTACCATCCAGCCCTCAATTTCTTCTCCTTTTGATTGACAGTGGAAAATGCCATCATCAAGGGTGGCTGTGATGATTTCGCATAGATAAAAGAACACCAAGTTCAAGAGGAGGGCTGAGCGTGAGGCCAGAGCTCTGGGCTTAGTCATCCAGGAGAGCCGGTGGAGAGGCAGCAGCCTGCTGATCTCCGGCATAGGGGAGACCCCCACCAACTATAGAATTAGTTACTGAGAGCTGCCTATGAGCTGCTTCAGTGCAATAGGTGGGACCCCATCCTCATGACCAGGTCAGCCACCTGTTATCTCAGAACCACCTGAGTCGATCGATCCACTCGGAGGCTGCACAGAAGGCAGGAGCTTCACAGCAGACTGCAACGAGGGAACTTCTCCTGTGAGAGCCAGGAAGCCTTTGATCTTGGTGAGAAACTGCCTGTTTTTTTATCTCCTTCATCTGTGGGTCTCCCTTCTATAGGGAAGCTTGCTGGCATGTGTTATCCAAGCCCCCATCTCACCAGCATTTATCATCCATATAGCTGCTTTGCTAGCACTTATGCATCTTCATGCAGGGACCTACCCATCCATCAGACCGATTCTCCATCCTTCCACCTCTCTGTTTTGCAAGGGAATCAGACAAACCTGGGTTGGAGCCCCGGGTCCTGCTTACTAGCCGATCCTGAGCAAATTCTTGTCCCCTCATCATCCTCTCATCTGTAAAATAATGAGCAATCAGATGTAGCAGGGACGGAGAATTAAAAGGGGGGAGTGGGCTGTCTAGTGTTTGGTCTCAGCAAATTGTTATGAAATCTTTGCTCTCTGTGTTTCTGCTGCCGGGCTGGGATGGATGTGGGGAGAAAAACCACTGCGTTTTGCACGGCATGTGGAGATGATGTTTTAGAATTACCTGGGATATTTCCGCTGTGGCTTGAGTACCTTGGGGAGTGGTCTGCCCTGGACACACAGCAGAGAGTGCCATCTAGTGGACCAACGCCCTGTGGGGGTCCCTGGACATAGCCCCCTGGGCTGCAGGCTGTCCCGGTTGAGATGTAGCATACGCTATATCTAAATCACTCAGGGGCCCTGGCCTGCCAGGTGCCTTTTGTTTTGTGGACGATAGCCAGCTCTGACTTGTATATTCAGTCCAGCTCTTTTAGAGATTTCCGGGGGAAAAAAAAAAACAACGAATAATTCAAGTAGCAGCTGTTGGCTATTGCGTCTTTTTGTTTGTTTGTTTGATATGGGTCTGGGGGATATGTATGTACCTGTTTCCAACTTGCCTGATGGCCCTGAGAGGCATCCAAAATTATCCCCATTTTTAGGTAGAAGGTGAGGCTCACTAAGGTTGCATTTGGTTAAAGCCCTGAATTTCAAGCTGTACTTACCTCTGAGAACCCCACACGCCCCTTGAAAGTGCCAGGAAGTACTTTGGACAGAGATCTGAACAAGTCAATCATAAAAGAAATTTATTAGTCCGTCAGGAAGATTTGGACACTTCATAGAGGTGAGATGGCAAACGGAAAAGCTGTTAATTTTTTAATTGTGATAATGGTGTCACAAATATTTGTACAAAAATTGTGGTAATGGATATCATGTTTATGTTTTTATGAAGGGAAACAGCCCTTTTTCAGAGATAAATATTCTAAGATGCACAGAAGAGACAATATGATCTCTAGAATTAGCTTCAAAACAGTCTAAAAAATAGGGGCGGGGGCAGTGGGAATTGAGGGAGGGTCCAGGGATCAGATAAAGCTGAGGGCTGAATGGATTTGGTAGGCACTGCATCTAAATGAAATACAAAAGTTAAAAATGTGGTGTTTAAAAAGTGCATTGTATTCTCTGTGTGTGTTGTCTGAAAAATGCTGATATAAATTCTGGCTTTCTTTTTAATCAACAAGTAAAAATGAAGTATAGGAGGCGAGTAGAGGGGTCTAGGGAGACATTTAAAAGCTCAGAGGGGGCTTCGGGTTTACGTCAAAACTAGCAGAGTGTTGCGGGGGATTCACAAATATCTCTGCGTGGCGAAGGGACTAAAGAAACACTTACTACAAATGGGGTGGATGGATTGAAGGAAAAGTACCGCTGGTGTTGGGGGGCACTGAGGAATCAGACACCCACCAGATGCGCACCATCTAGCTCCCTGCTAGCTTTCTTGCACCCCCAGACCCTCCCCTAGCTCTAAAGAGCCGACAGTTTCTCTCCTTAACGCAGAGCCAGCAGCCTGTGTACTCTCCTGCTGGGATGCTGTGCCAGTTTAGTTAAGAGAACAGCACTGTCACCTGCCACACACAGTGAGTAACCAGCTCAGCTACTCTCTCTAGTTTGCTATTTTGTTTTATTCTTAATTAAGCCTCTTTGGAAAGATAAGAATTGATGCTTTTCCCCCTAAAACTGCTTGCCAAGCTTCCACAGCTGCTCTCAACCCCACTTACTTTGCTCTCACTTATAGGGACAGAAAGCTGACTCACCTTGAGTCCCCAAAACAGCCTGGTCCACTACCCCCTTATGGCTTTCCTCCGTTCCCAGAGCCCCCACTTTTCTGGCCCTCCTGCAACAGCCACAGGCTCTGGCTCTTCACTCTTCCCTCGCGTTTCCCGGGCGCCTGGCCACTGCGCACTCCCTGCAAGCTTTCTCCCTTGTCTTTCATTCCTCACTCTGGGAAGCAGACGCCGCTGACAGCGCCGACCCTCAGCTGCTTGCCCGCCGCCGACCCTCAGCTGCTTGCCTGCAGCAGCTCCGTCTGCATTGCAGCACAGACTCTGAAGCGACGCTGGGACACTGCTGCCCCCCGCCCGCCTGCAACCTCCGCAGCTGCTGCAATTAAAAGCGCCACCACGGAGAGCCCAAACACAGGTCCTTCTTCTTGTCTCCCCCTCCTCATTTAAGAATGCAAAAACTGTAGCCCAGGCAGCCCCCTTGTGGCACTTGGGGGCGCCACAGACTCTTGGCTGCTGTCTTAGGAGTCCAGACCATTTCTACCTCATGGTGAGTTGACACAAATCCTAAATACCCAAACTCCTATCCCATGGAAAACTCTGCTCTCTACTACTTTGTAGGGGGCACCTCTCCCATCCCTTCTCCCCTTCTGTATTTCCCTCTGAAGGAAGGGGAGCAGCCAGAGTTCTCCTGTTGAATACAGCTCTGAGCAGCAAACAGGTGTCTGGCAACCCTAGCTATCAACAGAAAAGGTTACGGGAGTGGGTTATCTCTTAGAATAATGCTTGGTGCCCCTTTCCCTCACACAGGAGTGGAGTTGTCTATTAGAATGATGCTCGGTTTCTATTTCTCTCATGCAGGAATGGGTCGTCTCTTAGAATGACGCTCCGTGTCCCTTCTCTCACACAGGAGTGGAATTGTCCCTTAGAATGATGCTTGGTTACAATTTCTCTCAGACAGGAGTGAAACTGTATTTTAGAATGATGCTTGGTTACTATTTCTCTCACACAGGAGTGGAACTGTATCTTAGAATGATGCTTGGTTACAATTTCTCTGACACAGGAGTGGAACTGTATCTTAGAATGATG